TCACGGAGGAACTCTCTACTATGCTGCTTCTTGGCAGAGGATACGCGGCCGACTCAACTCCTCCAATGACCTGAACAAGGAAGGTCCAGCCAACAACACTATGAACTACACAAGTTTAACAGCAAAGCCAAACTAGCGCGGTTACAACTCACCTTAATTTTGCCATTCTCACGAACGCTGACCTCAACAGCTTGCCCTTTAGCAGGGCTTGCAACCAAAGCGCCAACTGCCTGTATGGAGGCACCGGTGGCGATCTGTCCAATAGCACCTTGCCAGAGCAACGATCTAGCCACGGTAACGGACAAAGAGACGGCCTACCTCCGAAATCAGGGCAGCTACTGTCCAGGACCAACTGCAACCCCTGTAAGCATGAGCCATCAGAGATCTCGACAAATGCAAAACCGCTGCCCTGGCTTCGCTTGGTTCTTACCCAGCCGCACACGCTGACCTAAAACGCAGTGAATATGCAAACAAGGTAATCCTCATGTTGCTGCTAGTACAGTCTTCCCGATGAGACCGGCACCGCCATCGGCCCTCAGAAGGATGTCCTTCACACGAGTTCGACCTGACAGAGTACAACTGTCAAGATAAATTATACAACATATGCGCGTACCTCCAACGCAGCTCGAATAGGGATGGATCGGGGGCTCGCTGCCCTCAGGAATAGGGCTCACAGTATTGGTAGACACAGACTCGGGAGAAGGCATGGAGAGCTGAATGGCAATAATAACCCATACGAAGTGCCAAGGCCCTACCTCCGTATGGCTGACCTTGGCGTTCTGTCGGTCACCTGCGCGCTTCTTGATCGGCTGGTCCTTTTCGGGCTTCTCCGACTCTACCTTGGTCGCCTGAACATGCTGACCTCAAGCCGATGGTTGATGAAATGAGCGCCCAAGCAACCCTGAGAATCCGTCATTTCTAGTGCAGCTAGGAATATGGAGTGTTCGACTTGATTAGAAAATTTGAACCAGCGTGGGAAAATATGCACATAGTCAACTGCATGTGTAGATGACAATATGAAACTACTGAGGAAATTTTGCGAATTTCTTGTTGGTTTCCGAACACTTCTACTCGAATTCATGGTGAACATCTACAACAGTGAGGAAACTGCTGAGCTCAGCTGAGGGGAGCGATTACATATACTTCAACACTGATTTAAACCACTAGATCGGCGACCTTACTCACCTCGGAGTCCGTGGACTCAACTTCCTCCTTACCGGGCATGAACGGGGTGACCTCAGGGACGGGGAACTTTACAGAGTAGCAAGAGAGGACATCAGCTACGGCAGGGTTGCCCAAACACGTTCGGATGTACCGCAAGACGTTGGGATAGTCCTTCCTGAAGGGACACCACAGGCCATCACAGAGAGGAGTTTTGTTCCACACTTACAGATCAGCTTCAGAAGCAAGGCCAGCCACCAATGTGGTCACGACCGACGCGTCAGCAATACTAAGTAGATCGCCAGAAAGGTATGTATGAGTCCTGAGGTGGTCCTCAAGCATACTAAGGCCACCCTCAACAGGGCTCAGCTCGAGCTCAGCAAAGTCCAGCCAAGAATCAATCAACGCGGACTTGCCGATG